TTGCTTTCCGAGCTGATGAAGAACATTAGCTCAATATCATTCTTCGGAAATAAATATATAAAAAGTTTTTGGCAATCTGTAACATATCCATTAATTTCTTAAGGTAGACTGTTCTCAAACTATGGGCCTAAGGTTACTTGATCAGTATCTCAGGTTTTTCAAGTGGATTTCCCTTTCCTAAATGCATAAGAAAATGCTTAGTCAGTCAAACACTAGGTGTTAGTTACTGACACATCTCTTGCACATTCATTGGTATTACTTATGATACTAACTTTTAAATATGTAAAATGTTTAAGAAAAAATGCACACAACTTGGATGTTAAATTGTTTGATTTTCATTACTTACAGCAAAAATGTTTAAATGCCAACAATTAATTCACATTATTCTTATGTAAAAATACCAGTTATGAACAACTGTGGTAGCATAACTGGTATCACAGTTATACTACTACAGTTGTTCATAAGATTTGAAAAAGATTCATTACAAAAAGTAGATAATTTCTTAGACGTAAAATTGTACTTCTTAGATGCATGTAGCAAAGGATTACTTGTATCTCAATAAAAAAAACGAATCAATACATAGATAGCAATTCAAATAAACTAGCAAATTAGTCTATCATAGGTTTCAAAATGCTTAATAAAATACCACTAATTACAAAAATTTAATATGTAATGATGACACAGAGTACAGTCCTCAAAGGATTTGTCCATGCAAAAATCTCTTTCACTGTTTCACATTTTTACACTGACCTTTTACAAATAATTTATAAAGAATGGTTGCAAATAAAACTGAAATAACATCAAAATAAATTTTTATTTAAACAAAAATACTGAACAAATATATTCACAACCTATCATGTCTTACAATCCAAGAATTGTTTGTAATTAAGCAAAAAGCTTCACAATGGGGTATCTGTGCTCTGCCCACCACGAGTATGAAAACCAGGTTTCTAGCGTTGTAAGTCCGCAGACATACCGCTGTGCCACTGGGAGGCTCCAAGAATTTATTTCAAGACTTAGTGATCTTCAAGAATGGAAAATTGTTATTGGTATGTTCATAACACAAAGAATCAAAATACACATCTTTTTCACTAATCAAACAGGAGTGTCAGATAAAACAGCCTTTCCATGAAGACTTACTCATCACTAATAACAATACAAAAATATTTAAGTACTCTATTACTTACAGAAATAATAGTTGGAATTTGTCAAAGGTACCCTACTAGCAATTACAAGTGAGGGAGAAAACTTGCCTTGCATGTGAACAGTTCCAGGTTCAAATCTTGTTTACAGGGATACAAGAATTGAAATTAACAGATTCACAATGCTAGTCTGTTCAGTGATGTCAAGTTTAAAAAACACAAGCAGTTTAGTTTTGGTATAAAAACAAAACTCAGAAGGAAAAACTTAAAATATTCTGAAATGGCTAAACTATGAGCAAAACTGAAAAAAAACAACAAAAAAAAAACAGGAACAGAAAACCCATACCTGGCAGAATATTAGCTAATTTGAGAAAGTTTTGATTAGCATTATTTTAATTGCATAGAGCAGAATACTGCTAGAATTACCTCAACTGAGCTACCAGCAATTCATCTAATAGTACTAAACGTGATTTAAACACTTCTAGATTAACAACTCACAAACTATAATACAAAAATATTTATTATGCAACAAACCTGAATGGAAAACTCATATTTCTCACAGAGAACATATCAACACTACATAAAACATAGTTTTGTTAATTAATGAAAATATAAAAATACCCTTGTTTATTTTGCTTATGCTTTATTTTCAAGAAGAAAAATTCTCTCATTACCTATGCTTTCATTTTATTGCTTCTGAAAAAAATAAGTTTCTAAGTTATTTGGATATGTAGAGCTGTTATGTATAACATTTAATGAAACAATGTTATATATCTATTATTGGTACTACAATAACATAACATACAGACAACAAGGGACCATTTGGTCCTTCCAAGTTGTCCTTACACACATACTCTTGAAAAAAGTAATGTTTAAAATATTTAATATATAAAAACCAGTATACATTTGTTGTTGTTCAATTTATGTTTACTTATTTATTTCATGTCAGTATTCATACATGCATGATTTCATTGTACCATGTCAAATAAGTTGATCTGAGTTGAATATCTACCCTTTAGTACTTAGAGAAATGACAACTGTTAACACTCACTTCAGTAGCAGTCTGTCTTTTCTTGTGCTCAATAAAACATGAAACGGTAACATCCATAAGAAAAAATCCCCACAGGCTACTTAGTGAACCTAAGCACTGTTGTGCTGAAATCATCCATTGCATCGAAAACCCAAACATTTTTGCTAACAGTGCATTCCAGTCAGTCTCTCCTTTGCTAAAAACAAATGCAATGCAATTTTCCTTATTTAAATAACACATGGAATGACAAAAGACAGTTGTAAACAGCCCACTAGACAATCGTACTACATACATGCTCGGATACAAGGGATTGGGTTGACTGCACATTTTATATTTATTCATCGCTACTTTTAGGAAAATTACTGTTGAATTGTTTCAATGTGCATCTGCTAGTATACACATGATTCAGTAGTAAAACCTAAACAAATTTTGATCTACACTACGTTGTTTAAAAGTTTACAGCAAAATATAATTCAGTATTGAAATCTTAGGAAACCTGAACATTCAGAAGTAATCCAAATATTCCAATCCAATTATATATATACCTATACCTAGAGAGTAATTCTTTGCCTCTTCATTAAAAACTGCATCTTCAATCTTATGCAAACCTTCCTTGACTTGTGTCACAACAGAACATCCCTTCAAAACATATTCTCAAAGCTACAAACCTTCCTAGACTTATGTCACATTAGGAGAATATTCCTAAAAAAATATTTACTACAATATACAAAACTTTCCAGAATTATATCACAACAGATCTTTTGGCATGATATAGATATTGCTGAAGTCATAAGTACCTCCATGACAACAATACATCAGCCTATAATGACCTTATAAAATCTCATCTATAACAACCATTTTCTTTCATTTAGTTATGACATGGAGTAAATTACTGTTCAAGTGAATATTCAACCTTAAAGATGAGGTTCTAACAAAAGTCAGTTTATGTACATACATAACAGTTACACAAGGATAAACAATTATATCCAATGTTTTTGACACACCTTGTATTATAATTGCATTTTACACTTTTAAATAAAATTATCAAATAAAACCTACACCATATTGTGTTAGTTCATTCAGTAGTAAGCAGTCTTCTTCATCATTTAGCTAATGAAATATTTTAAACACCCAGCTGCCTCTCAAAGTGTTAACTGCAAGATAATTTATTATTTTAATTCTGTCAGTAATACATGGATGAGTAGTTTTTCATATGATTTGAAATTGCATATAATAGGTGGTTGCAAAAATCAAAATTTTAAATGTTACAGGTCTTACCCCTACATTTGTTCTCTCTAGAGATAACCTGAAAGGTAAAATTGTAGTTAAATCAAATAGTATTTAAAGGCCACTCATCAATGAAGAAGTTTCCTAAAATAGAAGAAAAATGAAGAATAGCACTTTCTCATATGTATATTTAATTATTTTTGCAAAAAATATGGAAGAAGCTAAGCCATCTACATCAATTCATGGTTGATCACCTGTCAAAACCTGTTGAAAAGATAAATTATTTCTACTTGGGCAGTCGATAAAGAACCCTTTGTCTGGGAACAAGCTTCCGCCTCAAGGTAAAATACTGCAACGACTCATATACCTTCACCTTGGAGAAAGGAAGACAGTGAAGGAGACAGAAAAAGCTGTTATTATGAAAATATCCTCCTTCTGGATCCACAAACCAAGAGAACAATTTGATCACTAAACTTGCCAAGCACAACAAGGCTAATTTCAAAGATAAGTCTTTGAAACTGTTTGACCCTAATAACAACTCAAGAGGACGAGGATTTTCTGGAGTTCTAGCAACAAAACCAACAAGGCCTCTCAAATCACATTATTTAGCAAGGTAGAGAGCCAGAGTAAGGTGAGAAAACATTATCCCCACCACAAGTCAAAAATGGAAGTAGAAGCCCACAAACTTCAAGCTAAAGAAGTCGTGGTGGAGTCCTACACTTCCTCCAGTGATGCTGTGCCTCCACCTCTAAAACAAAGACAAAGTAGCCCCTGCTCAATCTAAGTACTGCATTGAGCAACTGTTGCTGCCCTCGATTGAACCAAGATGACAGACCTGAGTGCTGCTTTTGTTTTCCTCACATTTGCATCATCAATTTGGTACTTTTGATCGCAGATGCATCCACACCCTTACAGATGAGAATGACTTGAATCAACATGTAGATCTAATTAGGGAGACAATCATCTCTTTCTCTCTTCACCAATTGAAGGAAAACCATGATCAAGATGATTACAAAGAGTTACTGGAGCTCTCTCTGATCATTCTTGGTGAGACACCACCACCTCATGGCATTAGCATCCGAAAGCCTGGAGCTCACCAATGAACAGGATGGCTTGACTTATATATGTTAACAAAATCCTCCTCTTCAAACAACAGTTTCGACTTACTGTTCAGGAGGCAACTGGGATCCGCTATTTGGTCCTTTTTGTTTTGCTGGTTTATATTCAGTCCTGGTTTAAAACATCAAATGCACTCTAAGCTCCTACTTTTCTGTATTTAGTGTACTTTCAGTTAAATCAAAAACTATAACTATGTTATGAATATAATGTATTTTATTTTTTTATGATTGAATAAAATTTGATAAAATATGTTTCTCCTTATTTAATTTTCATGCAACAAAGAAATTAAAGTTCTCTATTGAACAGATGGTCGGAAAATTCAAGTTTTTGAGCGACCTTTAAATATTATTTGATTTACATTATATTTAGCACAAATCATTTTCTAATAGGTGGTAACAAATTGAAGGGTAATACCTTAGATATCTTCATTTTGAAATTTCACCCCTATAACTAAAAAAAACAACTAATATATAATGTATATATATATATATTTATAGATACATAAACACACACAAAATGTATTTATATTTACTTATAAACATGCCTGATAATTTCAATTCCATGTCAGATTCTCTGTCAGGGTCATACAGTTCAAACTAAATTCATTTTCACAACCACAATCCAAACTAGGTTCATTGTCATAACTACACAGTCCAAACCAGATTCATTGTCACAACTACACAGTCCAAACCAGATTCATTGTCACAACTACACAGTCCAAACCAGTTTCATTGTCGCAACTACACAGTCCAATCCTGTTTCAATGTCACAACCACACAGTCTACTATGAAAGTACAGGAGCTTGAAATAATGCATGAATGCAAATTAAGTGAAGACTCAGCAAAGGCCAATCTTAAATTTTAAAACAGTCAAACTTCTCTTACAACAGTTGTGAAGAACTAAACATTTTAATTCAACATCCATGTATTGTACAACACAGGTCTACCATAAGAATTCTCTATCTTCCAAGTTTCTTACAAATAATTAAGACCTCATATACACATCTCAAAGACTGGCTCTGATGATACATGCGACTTTGACACAATCACATATATGTACCCTATACACAACTTGTGGTAAATATTGTTTTCATTTTATAACAGAGTGCACGTTCATTCATACATAACAAGTTGTGGAATTGGATCCCTTTCACCAAACCCACAATAATCCTTGTTTTAACATTTTTCTAATAAATAGGTTCCATTTATCAAATAAATTATCTATAAAACATTTTTTTAAAAGCAGTGTATGGCTAAATTGACAAATACTATAACAAATGGTTGTTTTGAATCATTTGTTTAATATATGGCTTAGTTGACATGTGTTCCAATGAACAATCTGTTTTTAATACATTTTCGTACCAAATGTAAAGTTAGTGTTAAAAGAGATCATAATAACTGATTTGTCAAATTTCATCATCTCTATCATGATTAACTTTTAGCAGCTCTTCAAGTTCCAATGAATTTGCTTCTGTTACTGATCTAGTCCTCCATTTCTGTTAAAACTTACTGCTAAAAAGATATTTTTGTTGGTGTTTTAGCACAAAGGTACACAATAGACTATCTCAGCTTTGTCCACCACAAGGAATTGAACCCCTGATTTTAGCATTGTAAATTCAGAAACTTACCACTGACCCACCCATATGTTTCTAAATAAAATAAGTATTGGCATGTTATATTTCATCATCACTGTCACAATTTCTTGTTAACAGCTCTTCAAGTTCTATAAAATTTGCTTCTGTTACTGATCTAGTCCTCCATTCCTGCCTTCTCTTCAGCCATCTCAAGAACTTCAACTTTGCTCCTAATGCCTCTAAATGCAAAATATAAACATAGATCTCATTGTATAACAAACTCATGTGGTAATTATTTCACAACTGCTGAAATTAAAAAAGAAGGTGAAAATCAACATAATGTTAAAGCACTGATACCTGAAGTTATAACAGTAACCACTTCTGGATTAGCTGTTTCATGTTACACAAGTATATTTTATCTGTATTTCCACAAACAAAATTTATACTCACAAGTTCTTATACCAACATCAAAATGTGTACTTAAGCTATAATATATCGTACCTGTAAGGTAATTATAATAGCAGTACCTGAGGATCACAAGGTAGTCACTGAACAAGAAAAAGTTCAAATTTAACTAGGGCTACATTAGTTTTCCGTTGCATTACTAAGTAAAACAACATATAAGCTTACTTTACACTGACTTGTGCATAAAAGCATTCCTAAGTTCACAAGATCTATATAAAAACCTTCTATTAGTTCCTCCCTTTACTACACTAAAAATATGAAAAAAAACTTGTAGAATTTTGTACTAACAAAATAATAAAGCAACAACTCCCAATTACAACCCTAAGCTATACACTTTAATATTCTGCATTATCAATAACATGTAAAAGTATCATGAGAGGGGCAGGGGTCTCTATATTAAACTCTTACTGAAGATATTACCTGCAAAATAAACTTTATATAACTTATCGTGTTTTCATCAAATGGACTGATAATTCTTTAAATATCTCAGCAGTTGGTCATCAGTAATCCTAAACATTTAATGTCCCTACATTCTTTAACTATTTTTATAAATTTGTGATGAAAACAAACAAACCTGAATCACTGTATCAAATGTCACTACAAGTTGTTGTTGACTTATATGACAGTGAGCTAGAAAAATACTAAATCATTGGTATTAACTTCTGATCAAAGCAAGCTATCTAAGCAGATCAGAAATAAAAATATATACTCAGTAATGATCACAATTAATTAAATATAATGTTAATCCTATACGATACAAAAAGTTGCTGACTTGTCCAAGAGCATGGATAAACATACTAAATCATGGTATTTAGTGACACTAAAAGCTGCTGTTTACATGTGGAAAGTTGTGTAAAAACGCTGACCATGGTATTTAGTGACACTAAAAGCTGCTGTTTAAATGTGGAAAGTTATGTAAAAACACTGACCATGGTATTTAGTGACACTAAAAGCTGCTGTTTACATGTGGAAAGTTATGTAAAAACACTGACCATGGTATTTAGTGACACTAAAAGCTGCTGTTTACATGTGGAAAGTTATGTAAAAACACTGACCATGGTATTTAGTGACACTACAAGTTGGTGTAGACTGATCTGACAGCATGGTAAACATATTAAATCATGGTATTAAATGACACTAAAAACTGCTGTTTACACATTGAAAGTTATGTAAAAACACTGACCATGGTATTTAGTGACACTACAAGTTGGTGTAGACTGATCTGACAGCATGGTAAATAAAATGACACTAAAGTTAACATTTTCTTACACTGAAAATGTACTTCCAATAGGTACTTTACATATACTCACACAAAGCTATTTTGATCTTCATTCTGCCCTCTAATCATTGCTAAAAAAAGATTTTCATGCTCAGTGCGCTGGTCTATATACCACATCAATTCTGTGCTACCATTGAACATGTACATATCCTGTCACTACTCTTCACCAACAGTATTGTGCCACCCATATTGGCACAGCTAGCTATTTTTGCTGAATCACACTTTCGAGAAATGGCAGGATCTGAAAGAAAAACACTGGCAGTGGGGAGGAAGGGTGGAAAGTGTGTGAGAATAGGTAAGTACCTATCAGAAATATATTTTCAGTGTAAGATAATGTTGACAGGAGAATTGATCTTATCTCCTCTCACAAAAAACTAGAATCCCACATAGCAAAGGTGAAGGGGCTGGTGTAGGTGCACAACATTGAAGCCAAGCAGAAAGCAACTGCTCAGAATGAACAGATGTGCTCCGAGATGAGCCAAAGCACACAAGTGGGACACCGCACTACTTCTGGAACAGGTATGCCCTTAGCCCTGAAAGAAGGAAATGAACCTGATACAAGTGGAAAAAATGGATGTGAACAAGTGTAATTCATTCTGAAAGGAGCAATCCATAGTAAAATACAACCATACATATGAGGTTCATCTTTGGCATTAGGAGGTTGAGGATAAAAAAAGATAAAACATATATATTGTAACATAAACATAGTGGCTAGAGCATGTGGACCATGTTACATATATTCATCAACCCCAATCATAAGTAAACAGAAATGTGAAGAGGATGTTAGCTTTCGGCCAAACTCCCAAAACCACCACGGGAGCAAGAAGTACAACAAGCCAAACCTGGTATTACAGGGTTGTGGCATTGCCTAAACTCAACCATAAGAACAGGGTAATATCTTTAACCGGTATTACAAGTAGAAATCGTAAATCACTCAACCATAAATGCAGGGAAAAGACATTCTGCATCCAGAATTATGAGAAGGACATGGAACATTCGCTCAATCCTAAAAAGAGTGTACATACATCCTGCTTCCATATTACGAGGCAGACAAAATCCTCCAAACTCCATTATAGGAGCAGGGAAAGAACATCCTGCAATCAGAATTAATGAGAAGAAAAGCCTCTACTGCACACAACTATAGGAACAGGGTGGTGTCATCCTGAACCTGGTATTACAAGGAGGATCCCACATAAGCTGGACCTTCTCCAACCAACAACTGTCCACCTGGGAAAAAAAACATCCAGGGGAAATGGAAGAAGGGAAACCAACTTTACCCTCTTCTCACTGAGTGTATAATAAGAGTATGTATGGTAAATTAAACTTCTAAGCACACTCAGGAGGAAGCCTCCATGGTCCACCACCCCAGCAACTCGGAAGTGGTAAGAACTCCCATGCTCCACAGGAAGAAAAAAGGGGAAAGTAAATGTAGTGGGGAGTCCAAATGAACACCACACTGGAGAAAGTGCAATGGGTTTCTGCAATTTTCTAATCTCAAAAGCAGACTGACCCCAGTTTATTCAATCAAAAGGTTGGCAGGGATGGGCAGAAATCATGAGTAATGGTTCCAAACGAGTGAAATTCAATATCTAGAAACATACATATATACCTCTATACCTTACAGCCCGACTCCAGCCAGTCATCACAATCAGTATGTTTATAAATTAATTTATCCCATAATTACTGAATTAGTATATGTATTCATAACAATTTTGATGATCTCATTTCCAATTAAAAACCTTCACCCATAGAGGCTTAAACACCCCTTATTGTAACCCATATACATTCAAACTGTTGACTACTATTTTTTCTTCAATCCCCACAGGCTACAGTTCATCCCTTATATAAAGAACTCCATCATCTCATTCTAAAAGTCTATCACTATTAAATAATTTACAACCTGAAATTTCAAAGTAACTCCTATTAACAGTGTTCTCCATATCTAATGAAGTTTCAGTTACTCTCATTACCCTTGAATATTTTATAAATTTAGAGTATGTTTAAAACAATCTACTTTGCAACTGCTAACTCCTTGTAGTGTTTTGTTTATTAAAGTCTTCTTTCAAAACAAAAAGAATATTGTTCTAAGCATATGATAATCTAAAATTAATATATCCAGCTATCTCTGATGGAAGCAGGAAAAACTATCTTACCTTTAAATGGCACCTTCTCATTTAAGTCAAATGATATGGGTTGATAAAGTGATATACCATGGTAATCCTTCCACATTCGAGAACAGGCTACTGCTACTGCTAGGAGGACACACAAAAATGTCAATGCTATGAAAGCCCAAACTGCTTCCTTGGAACGTGTGATTACTGCATGGACTTTGGCAAAAAAATTCCTCGGTACTTCTTTGTTGATACCTTTTTTTTTCTTGTTTGTCACAGAAGTAATGTTGTTCAAATTATTCAAATCAGTTTTATGACTTTGTGAGGAAAGCTCTTCATACTTCATGTAAGTACCTTGTGTCTTACTTTGGTTACTGTTGCTTTTCCATTCAGCTACTGATTTCTTTCTCCTTTTTGTTTTAAAATAGTTTTTAAAGCCACGAGGATCTAAAATCAATTTACTTGGATGATTTGTGACAGTCAATTGCTGTAATCTGTCATTATTTTTTGAAATATGAAGGTAATTTGTTGGGAAAACATGGTATTTACTATAAAGCCAATTACTCTGGCCAAATAAAGCAGATATTGTGTGCGTATAAACTGGAGAAAAATGTTCACATTTTACCGACTGAAACACAAAAATAACAAAAAGCTTAAACATTTCACCACCAGAAACAGATACGATGGAATACAGAATGATGAGAAGATCTTCAGTTAAATTATTTTGTATATTTTGAACACAGTATATCCTTCACTTTCCTAGGATGTGTCACATAGATGACAAAGAAGAAACTAATGAGATATGTTGATCCTTTCACCATCTTGTTCTTCAGTTGGCTTTGTTTGCCCAAAATAAATCCATCAGTAGAGAAATATTTACATAAAGATTGGTAATACAAATGACATAAGATGTCATTCTTTCTGAAAAATAAACAGAAGTACTGTCTTAAGTGGTATCAGAAAAGAAAAGTGGTAGCATGATTGTACACATTTACAAAAAAAGTACAAAAATTCACTATATATTTTCACATAAATAGACCTGTAAGGAACACCTTTAACAACTGAATGACTTATTAATGGATGTGCTACATTTAATCAGTAGTGTAAATAAGCTAACGCTAGACCTACTTAACTCTTCATAACATAGTGTCTTGTATCCACAGCTACACGTTGAGATAAAATAAAAAGTTATTTCCTAATTTTTATAAAGCCAATTTTGAGGACATGAGACAAAATTTATTATTAGTAAATTAGGATAACGAGATAGAATATGATGTGGAACAAATATAGCACCTCTTAGAAAATAAACTGCTTTTAATTCAAAATGGGAATGTTCCAAAAAGTGGAAATGGATAACAAGGAAGACCAAACTTAACTAGACATAAAGAAGAAATTGGGGATAAACACTAAATTTCATAAATTGATTTTAAATTCACAGGTAGGATGGAAGATTTACAAAGTACAGGAAAGCTAAGAACTTGGTTAAGAATAGAGAGAGAAATTATGAAATCCAAAAGGTCTTATGAAAAACAGCTGCCTGATAATGTTAAAATAGGAAGGTTTTTTTAAGTACCGTACAGATAAGTACAATGTTAGAATGGGGATTTCACCCCTATGCATTTCGAACAGTCAAAGTGTGCATTTCACAACCTTTTTTAAAGAGTTACATTTCAAATTTAATTACATAACTTTATTATCTATATCAATAAGTTTGGCATCAAACAGTTTATAATTCAAGTTTTTTATATTATCTACATTATAACTCCAAAATGAAGTATTTAAATAAGTTCTCAATCTTCACTTCTTTTTACCCTTATTCAATTTTTTGAGTGTCAAACTAATTAGAAACACAAAATATAAACATTGACAAGCCAGAATATAAACTTAGAACTTTCAATCTTCTTTCTTTATTCATATATAAAAAAAATTTGAAGTCCACATGACATAACCTTCCCATGTCATTCTGTCTTTCAGAAAAATGTTAATTCTCTCCGAAACTGTTATTGGGTTATTTATAACCAGCAGAAGGACCAGTTTTTCTTTACAAGGTTTCTTATACGGTCATTTCATTTTGTTGCCTGTAAGTAGACAACGGAGTGATATAATCTTCCTTTGTTTCCACCTTTAACAACTGGACTGAGGTGAATACATTCTCTTAAAATCCAGTGACAACATTAAAAACAAGTAAGAAAAATTATTTTATTATTTTATTCTCACTATTTTACAAAGTTATGTTTTTAAAGTAATTAACAAATGTTTGTTTGAGAATATGCATTAGGTAAACAGTGTTGTCAAGATTTTCTTTACCAGAGACTGAATTGTTTATCGGAGGTGTGAAGTTGTCATTATAAACCAGGTGTAACTTAATGACAGATGATCATTCCAATAAAATGGATGTTTTTACAGCATAATAAACAAAATTATTTTGCCATAATTTTGTACACCATCTAAAGATGAAATTTACAAAACTTTTTGTCATAACCAAAATGCTCAAAAACCATGTTACATGGGGGTACACAAATTACAACTTGAGAATTCAAGTTAGCTTTCATAGATCTCCAGCAAACACTGAAAGAAAGCAACATTGGGTAGCTGCATGTAGTAGAATAAATGAAGATGAATCAACATGGACCCCAGGGAGGTATGCTGTCCTTTGTGGTGCATATTTTCTCTCTGGAAGGAATGAGTACATTTTTCTTCTTTTGGTGTCTTTTTTTTCTTATTAGATTTTTAGGGTGTGTGTGTGTGTGTGTTTCATTTTATTTTATTATATTCTTTTTGTGTGGTACAGCTTAACCAATGAAAACGTTTTGTTCATAAAAGTAAATGTATGCATTAATATGAAAAAGTTTCAATGAAACTGAATTTGCAATACCCATATATAATTACTCTTTTTGTTTAAAAACAAAAACAATAAGCAATTCTTAAAATATCTTTAAATATTATTCCTTTCTTATTTTTTCCTTGTATTAAAATTGGAATATAAAAAAAATCTTGAAGAAAAAAGGTATCAATGTATAAATATAATTCATGAAGAATTATCTGCACCTATCCATCTTTGATATATGAATGTGCCTCTTGTGACTTGCACCCATCTGACTTTGATATACGAATGTGCCTCTAGTGACTTGTATCCATCCACCTTTGATATATGAATATGTCTCTAGTGACTTGTACCCATCCACCTTTGATATATGAATGTGCCTCTAGTGACTTGTACCCATCCGTCTTTGATATATGAATGTGCCTCTAGTGACTTGTACCCATCCACCTTTGATATATGAATATGTCTTTAGTGACTTGTACCCATCCACCTTTGATATATGAATATGTCTTTAGTGACTTGTAATTTTTCATCTTTTCACGACTAAAAAGTTTAGGATTATCAATCAGATATGTATATATATATCATCATATTGGTGGCCGCTTCCTTGGATCATTTATCCACGAGTCTACATGCCACTTGTATGGACAACTTTCTACCCCTGCAAACATTAACTTGCTTTTATAAAGATTTTGGGATATACTGTCTGATGTTTCAAAATAATCATAACTCATTTTTCCTCAATACCTGCAGAAAATTCCAACAGAATTATGATAGTGTCAAGCTATCCACATTCACCTCACTGGTTGTCAAGTCCAAGCATTCACCTCAGCAATATGGCAGCTTCCATTGTCAACTGGAAATGACAACACAAAAAATTCTCCAATTTAGCCTCAGTTTCACTGTGTGATTGTATTTTTCTGCTAGGAGCAGCTAATGGATTTTTTTTTAAAACACATTTATAGCTTAGTTAGAAAGCTAGTTAAATAGAGTAGGTTTGGGACATTTTATTCTAGTACCTGATATATTTTTTGTGTTATAAGATGCATATTTGAAAGAAAGATTAATGAGTTTCAGGAAAATCAGCACATTATGAAAAAACTAGCACTAAGGAGGTATGCTCTCAAGTATAAATTATTGAAATAGACTTGAACTCTAACTTAAGTCCACCTTGTTTTTCATGTACATTTATTGTTATATACTTTTTTAACAAAAGTAACTAAAATGTAAAAATTAGAAACTTATTAGTTTACACAATAAAAATTAATGAAAAAATTAAATAAGCTTTTAGATGACCTGCTTGAGCTAACTGTATCATGTGATTGTAACTGGATTGATTATTTACACTAGGTTCTTCAACTGTACTTAACTGCCTGTCAGTACTTAGATAGGGTCTAATGGCCATTGTAAAGTAACAAAAGTAAAAGCAAGCAGATGAGAAATGGTTAAACAACTGAGGCTGTTAGGATAAATAATTGTAACTATTACAATTTGCAGTCATTCTAGCAAAAAAAAAGGCATTTTAAATTTATTTTTATATTTATCAATCTTTCATTTCCTTTATATTGATGATTTCATTACAATTAGTATTAAGGTAGAGAAAGTAAGAGAAAAAAAGTTTAAACTTTTACTGGAAAAAGTCTTTTATATTCATTTATGACAGACCTTGTCAAATCCTGGGTGCCAGGTCACTATGGCAACTAAAAATTTCATTATAGTGCCTAGTAAAAAGGGTGGAATATTACACAAATAAGTATGATGGGCCAACCCCAACCGTGCAGCCGAGGTGTCACGACTCCGGGCTGGATTTAAGGGGTCATGGTACCCATATCCCCCATTGGTGGCAAGAGCTGTTGAACAGCAAATATATACATATCTTTGTGATAGGATCCCCACCAGCACCCACAGAATGATGAGTTTTGAACAACCGGATTTACGAAAGAAAGCAACACAAAAGTGGACAATCCTTCTAATCAACCTGATGAAGTCCAAAAGGCAACATCTCAGGCTTGGATTGACAGGATCATACATGCCATACTCCACCCAAGGTCCAGAACTCATCTGATCTGGATTT